ATAAAAGCATGCCATGTAGAGGGACTGTGCACATTAAATCTGTCGACGCTCAAAGTTCTCAAGATGGAGTAGAACAGTGGTTCCCAAACTTTTTTAACCCATGGACCCCCTTTTTATAGTCTAAACCTGCCCACAGACCTCTTTTAATAGTCAAAACTTGTCCACGCGGACCCCTTTTTAAAGTTAAAACTTTCTCAATGACCCTCAAGTGTTAAAGTTACATAAATGCATAGTATAAAAATTACAAATTTAAAAAAACATTTTGCTGAAGAAATAATATTTATTGAAATCATAACCTTTGTTTAAAATAAATTTTAAAAAATTTAATGACTTGGATGAACTTGATGAGATGTTTCGAGTGTATTTATGTCCGTCTCAATGTTTGAGTAGAAACCACAAATTCCCACAAGCACTAGTTTTGAGATTTTTTACGGCACTTAACCCACGTTCTACTAAATTGGAAGACGGGAAAGTAGTCAACAACTTCTGTACAATAACCTATAATGCAGGATATAAAACTGGGATCGGTTTTTGTATATCCTTGTTCAAACATTGGTTTAAGTTCCTAATTTGTGTATATTTTAACAAGATGTTCCTGTACTAGTATGGATTCATCTGTGTTAAGGATCTGAGTTAGTTCACGCGCAAAAGGGTTCAACACCCAGTCTGGAATATGCAAGTGAATTGTTGCTGTTTATTTAAATTTCCATAAAAATAAAAATGGATCAAAATTTTTTTTTTTATATTAAACCTTGCACGGGCCCCTTGATATTGTTCAGGGAACCCTAAATCAATTTTAATTTTCCATGGATCCTCTGAATAATATTGGGGACCCCTGGGGGGAGGGGGTTTACAGGAACCACTTTGGAAACCACTGGTGTAGAAGTTAGGAGACAGGTGCGATTCTCGTCTCTCTAAAATTATGAAGTATTGTGTTCCATTCACAATGGACTTGCTCTTCGACTTTAATAAACAATTAACCACTCTACTGTTTATTAAATGGAGTCAAACGTAGAAACTCTTCATGCGGTGTGGAAGTAAAGGAAGGGATTAAAACCAACTCGATAGCATACTGATCATTTGCCTGCGGTTGAACAATACAAGGTCTGTCCTCAGTAATTGTTTTGCGGTTTAAAAGCGATATTAGTTGAAATGGAACCAGTTGTATTTAGATTCTCACACCCTTTGCGTATGGTTCATAACTACTTTTTAGAATAACTATTTTTTTAAATAAATAAATAACTTCCTCTCTCTTATTTTCTATTAAACGTTATTAATATATTACCGTGGGAACCTTAAGAAGTTTTTTTTTTTGCCTTCTTTTTATCTTTTTGATCATGTCTTACAGCAAGGGCGTCAAATTCAAAGGCTAACTTGGGCCAAGTGAATAAGGTTCAACTTAAGGTGGGCCGCAAAAAAAAAGTCTACATTCATAGAAACATAAATTTATTTCGTATAATACATTATAATAAACACACACACAAAAAGAACAAGAAAATTTAATGTTTACGTTTTGACATCTCTTCTCTGCTGCTGTCTTTCCTATTTCGGGAGAAATTGTATATTATTATATACAGTCGGACCTTTATATAACGAAGTCGCTAAATCCCAGAAAAAGTTCGTTATATAGAGGTTCATCTTTTAATATACTTTATAAACCACATAAAACAAATTTTAAATTCATAAACACTATGCATTCAAAAAAGTAATTATTCACACCTTTTTTAAATTAATATATGTTTATTTTATATATCATACCCATCAAAAAAGAGAAAATCTGCAAGGAAAAGAAGAAAAAAGAGAGAATGTCGAAAAATTCATTGTATTTTTAACATTTAGAAAATAATTTTATACTAAAATTAATGAATTTTTAGGACATTTTATATCGCTTAAAGCATGCAAGTAATATTAAACATACATTGTTTTATAATTAGAACACGGGGACACGGGACAACTCCGCTGAGGGTGAAAGAGGGTATCGAAGATGTTTCTAGTGACCTGGGCAATGGAGGTAAAGTTTGCACTTCATGGATGAAACGTACAGAACTCTATTGCTTTCGGCGAGTTAGGATCTAATAAAACCAGTTCCACCATAAAATGTGTTAAAGAGAGTTTTTTAGAAATACTTAAAAAAAAGTGAGAACAATAATTGAATCACAGAAGAAAAAGTTCGTTATATAGAAAATGCACTTCGCTATAGAGAGATTATTTTACGAAGAAAATCGTGAAATGTTCTTGGTTCCAGGAAAAAATTCGCTATATAGAAAAATTCGCAATTTAGTGGTTCGTTATATAGAGGTTCGACTGTATTATTGTGTGCCGATGTACTAACCGAAGAATGATCAATGTGGGCCGCATACAGCGCGCTGTCGGGAAGTTTAACACCCCTATCTTAACAGCATTTCTTACGCGAATAAAAAAGAAACATATTTGGGACCGTCAACCGCTGGCGTAGCCACATTCGAAGAGACTTTTTCTCGGAATCGAGACTGATTTCATGCGAGAAGGTGTGGTTTTCTTTTCAGATAGGTTACTTTCGTTTTGTTACAATGTCAAAGCAATTAATGAAATCAGACAGTCGCTTCCTCGGAGAACATAAATTGTCCTTTTTCTTCTGACCTTCACACCGCCATTTTGTGCCTTCTCGAGTTTCTGTAGTCACGGATATAAATAAAATATGTCCCCTAATCACACATAAAAAAAGTGAAGTGTGTGGATTATATGACACCTACTGTTTAATGTAGTATGGTGAAAGAATATATATATATATATATATATATATTAAATTTTATTTATATAAGCCGTGGATTTTCTTGGTTCATCATATTACATTGCTAAGTAACGAATATTGTGGCGGGTTAGTAATGGCCATTTTCAATAGTCGAATTATGTGTTCGAGTTCTGTCATCATTAAAGATCCTTCTTGTAGAAAGGATGATGTGTGCATGTTGAATTTATTGATGCTCAAAGTCCCCACGTTGATGTGATTATGCAAGTTCGGAGAGTAGAATGCCACCTCGGATGTCTCCTCGTAGTTTGAGAGTAGTTCAGAATTGCGTGGTCCATCGTCAATGTTGCTTCTCAGTCGTAAATGAAAATGATATCTTTGACTCTGTCTAGATCATAGAAACCCTGGTGACAGACGAAATTCGAATCGAATTGTAGGTTTAAGCCTTGAATCTACCAAAGACGACCGTGTAGAATAATGGGCATTGTCGCTGACTAAATTTTTTTCCCAATGGGGCCGTGGATTGGTACTTCCCAAGAGTTGGTATCACTACCAATTTTGCCGCAAGTAATTTTGACGCCCAGTTTCTTCCCCAGAGTGAAGCACCCGAGCTCTGACAATGCGAACTTGTTCCAGGAATTTAATTTTGACGTGAGCACCCAAGCCAAACAGGTACTCAAGGGAGCTTTTATATTCCGCATAATCATTCGACACTGCCGCTGTCTATTTTCTGCATCATGAAAATCCACCGACTTGAGCCGGGGTCGAACCCGCAACCTTAGATGCAGAAGGCCAGCGCGACAAACCAACTACGCAGATTAAATTAAAACCTGGATCGTTTCGTTACATTGTTTTATGAGGAGATTTGATTTCATTTGATTTTAATATATACGTGGCATTTTCTCTCTGTGTGTGAAACAACATGAGGGCTATTGGTGATGTACCTCGTTATTTTGAACCATGGTCAAGTGACGAAGACAACACCTGACCTGCAACTTCCTTCTCCTAACTTCCACACTACACTAACAGGAGGGACGGAATCGACATATTTAATGTGCATCGCCCTACCCCTACACGGTGGGTCTTCAATGGTACTAGGCTCGAACTCGTGACACGTGGCCACGAGTTCGTTATCTTGACCAATAGGTTACCGCGGCCACCTGTGGTATTGGGAAGAGAAATGTGTAAATCCGGCTCTGATGAATTTTGGTGATATTGGAGTCTGTGAGGATCTTATCCAATTGTTTTAAAGGAGAATTCCAATTAGAAATTCTTTCTTAAGACTTGAAGAAACGTTCCAAGTCGTATTTGGTGCGCGAAAACACCCTGCGTATTGTAATAACATGCCCATTATATCATTCACCCTTTGCATGATTTTGCAACTGAAATTCAGTTAAAATTTAAATCAAGAGAAAGTCTTCGTCAAAAAAAGAAGTCTGTTTCTCTGAATGAGAGAATTTTGATTCGCGAACTTTGCTCGTGTTCTGTTGAGATGTTATTTCGTTCGGGATGGTTTCTAGAAAGTCGCCTAATGCTCTAATTACGCATTTCTGTGATTTGACTTTAGTAGAACTAACCTAACTTAAACAAACAAATTAAGGAGAAAAAAAAAAGAGTTCTAGTTTCCATCATTCTAAATTCTTCACTAAATAAGCAGAAAAGCGCGAGGGTCAGGGTGAAGATGTCTCTGTGACAGCACAGTCTGTCACGCAGAGGCGCCATCGAGGGTCCAGACCAGAAACAGAACGCTCATTCATTTGCGGTGGGACATGATGAATGGACGCGACACTATTGCATCTCTCTTTCAAAGGCACCTTCTCTATTGGTTCCTCTTTCGCTTGCGCAACGCGTGTTTACGTTCTAATGCAGTGCATCCTCTTTCGTGATTTACTCATACATGGTTTATTATCACTTTCACTCTTGGTGACTTGTGAAGGTAGACATATGAAAAGGCTTAGATTGGAATACGATTAATGGAGGGATCAATTGTTTGAGAGAATATTCCGTTGGAAATCATCTTCATTCGTAGATATTTCAGTCACCTAATTTCTCGCCTTTGTAGTTGTTGTCGTGTGTTTTTATCCTGGGATACACATATGAAAGACGAGGGGAAGAACAGAAACATACAATACACACAAATAGAAGAATATTGACATTTATTACAAACGATGATTCCAGCATATAACGAAAGGGGTGCGCTGCTTTCCATTCGAGACGGGAATCCATTTCAGGCGAAAGAGTCCGACTTCTTTTCCCGAAGGAGATACAACCATGCCTTATTCGGGTTTCGAACCCGAACCCACTCGGTTACAAGCCGAGAGTCATATCTACCCTACTGGCTGGGCAGTTCCCCTTTGTGGTTGTTGGTATGATAGATGGATGCATTGTTTTTTAACGTCCTGCTAGAATCAATACGAAGGTGCTCTAATTGGTCAGGTTGCGTTAATAAATCGATATTTTTAAACTAATTATAGCAATTTATTTACATTTTAATGTTTAAAATTGGACTTCGCTAAAACATATACCAGAAGTGATTGTTGCACTTACCATTTTTAAAAAAAATGGATATTTTCGATATTCTTTTTCTATACTGACACAACAGCCTCGGGAGGGCAAAAGCTCTTTCTCAAGAATCCTTTTTAATTTTAATCTTCTCTAAGCTACAGTTGGTCACTTTTAGAAGTCTAAAATCGTCATCCATCTCAGTTTTGGCCTACACCTAGTTCTAGTTCCAATAGATTTGTAGTGGCCGCGGTAACCTAGTGGTCAAGATCATAGACTCGTGGTGGGCGTGTTGTGAGTTCGAGCCTAGTGCTACTGAAGACCCGCCGTGTAGATGAGGTCGAGGCTCAAATGACCTCCCGTTGGTGTGGTGCAGAAGTTAGAGAAGGGGTGTCAGCTAAGGTGTCGTCCTCATCACTTGACCATGGTTCAGATTGATGAGGTCCATCGATAAAAGCCCTCGTGTAGCTGAATAGTTAATATTCATTCACTCACTCAATCACTTGAAAATTCTTAACGCCAAAGATGCCGGGCCTATATGGCAGATGTAGCCCGCAAACATCAAATGACCATTCTTGATGGATTTAATGACATTTCTTCCTTAAATTAAATTATATAATTCAAAATTGTGTCGTTGTCTCTACAATCCATTCAGTTTCGAGGTATTATAGTTGCACTTATTATTTAAATGTTAGTTGTACACAAAATTGTAACATACCCCAAAGTCGTTCTTCGTGAACTTACGAGATATTTCTATTTTCACTTCTGTCAGATTTCAATGCGGATTGAATTTAGCCTAAAACCAGTATTTTTCTTCAGTTAGCTATATCTAAAATAATAACTTCAGCTGCATATATATAATGGTTCCTTAACGCCCCGGTTGGGAACGGAAACATCTGCAATCATTAAAGATCTGGCGTAGGTTTGTTTAAAATATCTGGAATTCCTTCTCCTGCAAGGTCGAGTCAGCCCTACTCTCAAAATTTATGTGAACGGATAATGTTATGCGGTCTTCCTTTTATATATACCGATGAACTGTGTGTTAACCGGTCTCTTTGTCGGAATGCAAAGCGTACTACATAGGAAATCTGCAGTGCCGGGCCTTTTAATTCTTAACAACAGTCGAGAAACCGAGGAAGACGCCTGAGATTACTATATATTTTTTCTTTCCACATCCTTGATAATAAGAGGATTTATATTTGACCAACGGCGTTTCATTTGAGTTAAAGACTCATTGCGTGTCGAGGGGTTGATGCACAATAAATCTATCGGGGCTCAAACTCTTCACATTTACGCTCGTGCCAATGGAGAGTGAGATGCCACCTTCGTTATGGTCTTAGTTTAAAAATCGTGTAATGTATCGACTAAAATTAGCATATTTCTGTGCTTAGCAAAAATAGGTTGCCCGAAGTATTTTCTTAAGCAAAAATGGTACCATTTTAGAGTGGTGTATGTATTAATTTGAAGCCCAGTGGCTGAGTGGTTAGAGCATCCCGCTTCCACACCACAGGTTCGAAATTCAAACCCCGAGCTGGGCAAGGTTGACTCGACCTTTCATCCCTTCAGTGGGTCGATAAAATGAGTACCAAGCTTTCTTGGGAACTTAACACTGGGGGTTTCGTGTCAGACTGACCACCTGACCAGAACATCTGTTCATGCACCTCAGGACCCTAGGTCACGTATACTGAGTTGGCCACAGCAGGCCTTGGCCCTCATGGGCTGTCGCGCCCCTTAGTTAAGTTTTTATATGTATTAATTTATATAATCGGGTTGAATCGTGGGTTTAATCGCGTCGCTTTGTAAAGCATCACGAGGGTTAGTGATAACGGACTCAGTAATTTTCTACCTCGGTCAAGTGGCGAGGGCGGAACCTGATCTGGTACAACTTCTCCAAATTGCCACGCCACGACAACAGGAGGACTTTGAGCCTCTATAGATTTAACGTGCATCGGCCTCCTCTACACGATGGATCTTCAATGGCTCCAGGACTCGAACCCGTGACATGCCAGCCACGAGTTCGTGAACATGACCACTAGGCCAGGGCTGGCGAACCTTTATGTATCAACGTGCCATTTTTTCTAAGGAAATTTTTAAGGATGTATAGACGTGCCATCAAATAATTTAGGCTTGTAATATTGGGAAAATAATAAAACCAAATGCTAACAACTCTCAAACCTCTTTATTTACTACGAAAAAATACATTTTGTGTGCATTGTGTGTTAATAAATGTTTTAGTTATACAAGTTATTCAAATTAAAGTAATATTAGTGTGACTTCTGTTGTGTTGCAAATAAGATGACATATAGCATATATTAGGATTTAAGATGTTACTTTTAGCAGAACGCATGCTGAATTGTGTGGAGTCACCTGCCAAACGGTTTCTAAGCGAGTGTTAATGTTATTTATCTCGGAAAATAATGATTCGTAGATGAAAATATGGTTAAAACTGCTTGAGCCAGCTTCATCAAACAGTTAAATGTATCTGAAATAGAGAATTCCATGTTTCCAAAATTTCGTTACTTGCATTTTTACTTGTATTGCTTGTTAATCCTTCTGTTTTAATCAGTTTCAACTTTTTCCTTGTTTCAATAAATTTTTGAATCCATAATGAACTAGAATGGAATGAATCAATTACATTTCAAATTCTTCAATTTCCACCAATCGAACTGGGGCCAAGTTCAGTTTATCAAATGGAATCACATCAGGGTACATAATAAACTTGAGCGTTTTTTTTTGTAATTCTTTGAACTGAGAAAATCTCACTGAAAATTCCTTAACCCTTTATTTACTGACGGTACTGATAAGCACCACCCACTCTTTAAAACTACATAGAACAACCATTTTTACGAATATTTTGACGATACTTAGCAGGAATATTCTTTGAAATCCACTCTTCCAAGATATATGACAGCACGGGTTCTATGGCGAGTATTTTAGCGGGGAAGGTGAATAGTTTTATAGCAGAAATTGCGTTTTCAGCTGACGACGTTTTCAGCGGATTGTGAAGGTTATCAATTTTGTCCCGAAAAAATAGTTCATGTCAAAATTTAAGTGTCTAATTTTTTTTGTATGCTAATGAAGACCTTAGAAAACGATTTAACTATTTATTTTAAGTAAACAGTGTATATAATTAATGTTACACTTAAATATTCTTAATTAATTAATTAGCTCTAACGGGTTAAATTTCCCTAAGTTGAGTATTTTGTTTATGTATATCCCTTAATTTTTAATGTAGTGATTAAAAAAAACTGCAGTAAATCATAATGCGGTATATAAAGGGTTAATGGAATATTCATTTACGGAAATAAAATTCTTCAATGACTCTTTCTTCGCCTCGTTTCTCATGTACATCTAACCGATCACTCGCGTTTGTTCGTAATACTTCATAGCGATTTTTGTTATTTTGAACTAAAATGCAAACCTGCCTTGACACTTTCCTCGATTCAAAATTGAAATACAGAATGAGAAACATTCTCAAAAATACTTTCTCATAACCTTAATTCCAAAACTGAATGGAAACGAGTTCGAGGTTATGCATAAAGATAAAAAAGAACTTGATATCTACCTCTGTCCAAATGATTGAAAAGTTGCGGTGCATTCTTCTGCGCCTTCTTTAAAAAAAAAAGTACTGTGCTTTGAGTTAAGGACAATCATCGCCCATATAAAACAAAACTGTCGTTTCAATCAGGAATGCTATTCAACTGTCTATTTTCGCCCCATCCAGAACTGGTCTCTACCGATAGGAATCAGGTCATTCTCTTCCTTTTCCTCTCCCCTCATTCCCATTTTGGAATGTTTTTTTTTCTGTATGGATGAAAACCGGTGGGAGAGGTTTTAAATTTAGAATTTGAATAATAATGATAATAATAAATTTATCGAGAGAAATCCGCTTAAGGAATTGAATCTTATGTTCTTGTTTTGGATTCAAAACAAATGTTTGTTCTTTTGATTAACTTGTCCCTGTTAACTTTATTTATTTATTTTTTGGTCTCGTCACGGTGCAATGATATTTGTCATCCTTTTGCTCAACAAAAGGATTTTTATCAGGATTTCTCATGTAATGTATTTATTTTGTCATTTAATTCGCTCACTTGGTGAATTTTCTAGAATTCTTCCGGCTTTCCTGAAACCCAGGTAGGGTTTGCATCCCCGTGTTTTATTTTCAATCTCCGGAATTTCGTGATTACATTATCCAAAACCCGGGATTAGGACTGGACTGTTTATGAAAAATACTTACGCATAAGCTTGGTTGAAATTAATAAAACTGAAAACATAAGTAAAAAAAATTGGATTTATATTATTTATTGAAACAAAAATAAAAAAAAAAAAAAACTTAATTCAACGTAAAGTTCAATTAAGTATTTGTTCTTAATAATTAATTTTATTAATTAACGCTAATTATTAATTGAATAATGTATTTTGTTCTGCTTTTTGTTCCCAAAACCGACAAAATCAAAAAAATGCGTTGGGCGGCGGGGGGCGTATTGAGGTATGATACAAGAGTGGTGGACTTTCGACCCTGGATCCCCCCTTCCTTCCTTGAAAAATCTTTGAGTGCGCCATTGAACAAACTCTTATTATTTAAATTAACTGAGCTTTGCATGACTTAAGTATTTCTCTTTCTTCTCACACATACAAATAAATAAAATCTTAAATACGAATTTTTTTATTTCAATATTTAACTTTTAGAATAAAGCAGAAGAAAGATGAAAATAATACTAAGGGGTGCTGATTTTGGATTATGAGACCACGCATACAGCTTATCAAAAGTTAATTACATTCTGAAACAGATAAAAAATCATTTAGTAATCAAAATATTGATTTTATGTTCTCTCACA